TCCAAGAAGCAAGTTGCCGAGCTGACCTTCCTCTTCAACTTTGAAGTTCCTTGCCGAGCAGATTTTGCTCGCCAAGAAACAAGTGGCTGAACTAACCTTGCTCGCCAACCTTAGAGTTCCTTACCGAGCTGATTTTGTTCGCCAAGAAGCATGTGGCAGAGCTGACCTTACTCGTTGACCTTGGAGTTCCTTGCCAAGCTAATTTTGCTCACCAAGAAATAAGTTGCCGAGCTGACGTTGCTCGCCAACCTTGAAGTTCATTGCCGAGCTAATTTTTGCTCGTCAAAAAGTAAGCTGTCGAGCTGACCTTGCTCGCCAACTTTGGAGTTTCTTACCGAGCTGATTTTGTTCGCCAAGAAGTAAGTGGCCGAGCTAGCCTTGCTCGCCAACCTTGGAGTGCCTTGCCGAGCTGATTTTGCTCGCCGAGATGCAAGTTGCCGAGCTGACCTTGCTCGCCAACCTTGAAGTTCCTTGCCAAGCTGATTTTACTCGCTAAGATGCAAGTTGCCGAACTAACCTTACTCGCCAACTTTGGAGTTCCTTGTCGAGCTGATTTTGCTCGCCAAGGAAGTTACCAAGCCGATTTTGCTCGCCAAGAAATAAATCGTCGAGCTAAGTTTATTTTGCTTACCAAAGAGTTGCGTTGATTTCGCTCACTGAGAAGTAAATCACCGAGCTAAGCTGGTTAAGTGGTTAACACGAAAATCGAAGAACGTTTTGAAAAATTTAAGCTATAAAGATTTGTGTAGCAGTGCAGCGCGGGCCCCGAAAACAAGCGACAAAACTTGACCGAGCTATCATGAAGTTAGATGACAAACCGAGCTGAAATGAAGATTATACAAGAATAAAGTAATCCCAATCAGGTTGCAACCAATGGGATTAAGGGGCAATTGAGAGGGGAAAATCCAATGAGCAGAATGGGCCGAGCTATGTATGCAATTGAGGGAATTACACCAAACAAAGGACCAAACTACATATGGAATGGCCGACCTAAGGATAGTTCGAGCTAATGACACCGTCCTTTGTATAGACCGAGCAATATTTCGCCGAGCCGTGGTTGACCGGTTGAGCAACTCGGAGTTGAGCCGATTAATGGAAGTTGGTAAACGGCCTTGTGCCTGGTTATGGATAGCACGGTAGAAGTCGCTACGTGGCCCAATTGGAGTGCGAGGAGATTAACCTGCCAGTAGTTGCGCGTCAATACTGTTTGGCAGTTTGGCCAAATGTTGTTGGGTAATATTGACGCATACACGTGTAAGGAATAAAGAGGGCAGTACAACAACGCATCCAGAAAAGGACGAGCAAAGTGGTGACCGCAGAAGCTATTTAAACTATACGGCGCCTCCATACAACAGGTTTGGAACATCTGGTTATCAGAGCGACCTACCCCATCTCTCTCTCTCTCTCTCTCTCTCTCTGCTTCTCTCTAAGTGTGCTAACTTGACCGTCGAAAAGTTTTTCCGGCAGCACACCACCGGGTAGCTCACCGTCTTTGTGTTCTTAGGTCACTCGAAAAGAAACGACGCTTGGACACGAGGAGTACGGAAGGCGACGAATATTTGCTCCCCGTACAATCTAAAATTGAAATTTAACTCTAGTTCGTTCATTTAGTATGTACTCTATTTTTTGTAACAGTAAAATTTTACTCTGATTAACAGCATGTTGATCTGCTTAACAACAGTAAAATTTTACTCTGATTAACAGCATGTTGATCTGCTTAACAACAGTAAAATTTTACTTTAAATTATAGTAAATTTTACTCTAAATAGTAAAATTTTACTCTTTTTTGTTTTTTAATTACAGAGTAAAATTTTACTCTGAAACAAGCTTGGAGGATGGCTTTACAAGAGAGTGTAGCATCATGAGAAGAAGAAAGAGAAATAGGGAGACAGAGTTCGAAAACAAAAGATCATGAGAAGAAGAAGAAGAAGAAGAAAGACAGAGAGAGAGAGAGAGAGAGAGAAAGCGAGAGAACATGAACCATCCGAACCAGAGAAAGAGAGTGAAGGATCTCAGCTCTCAGGTTTGTGAACCATCAGGAACTATCATTTCCGACAACTATGAATGATCTTAGATCTGAGATTGTGAGATTGTGGATGTGACGAGTGGAGGTGGTGATGAAGACGGTAGAGAAAGAGTTTTATAGTGAGCGGCGGTGGCGCCGACGGAGAGCAATGATAGCGTTGATGGAGAGCAACAATGATAAGAGCAAGATAGAGAGGAGAGATTGAGATAAGAGAGCGTGATTGCAATCTGATACACACACACATATATGTATATGTATGAGGGTATTATAGTAAAAGAAACAAGTTTTAAAATAGTAGGGGATTTTGAAAGGATCTATATAATTCTTATCCTTTTGAAGGACAAGTTAGACATTGAAGGGTCTATCACCAAATCCCCATAAATAAATAAACAAAATATTTGCTATATGCTGTATGCAACTCAAATGATAAGAGCCTTGTTTATCAAATTTGTGATCTTACGTTCGAGTCACACTGTGATAACCACACCATGAATATCATTTTGCATTCATTTAATGGTAGGGATTTTTAATTTAATTATATGAAATTCGTGTGTGTATTATTTGTCAGAAGACTATAATTTGAATCAACTTATTGTGTACAGCCTAATAGGATTTGATTAAAATTAAAAGGGAATAGAATTAAGGTTAGATGGATTCAAATAAAATTAGGAATGATCAAATTAGGCATTTTTATGATTAATTAGCCATAAGATTTGATTAATTAGTGCTTAATTAACCTAAACTAATTCTATTTATATATATAACACAAGAAGAAGAGAAGTTGAATTCATTATTATCTTTGTGCTGAGAATTTTAAAGAGAGGGAGAGAACAAACTCTAGAGAGAGAGAGAGAGAGAGAGATTTGAAGAATTGAAGGAAAGCTAGAAGAATTAAGGGAGGAAATCATCAAAATTACTAGAATTCAAGTAAAAGGTATGGAATTTAAGCTAAAGTCTTGTAGTTAATCTACCTAAGAGTTGAATTCATAAAGTAATTAGGATTAATTGCATGAAATTTGTAAGGAATTGTTAAGAAAAGGATGAAATCAAGCTAAGTACATGCTCATGGTTGAACATGTCATGTTTCATCATTTTTGCTTTGAGATTTGTAATTCTAGCATGCATGTGAGTTTAAACTTTGCATATTTCCAAAAAATCTCCATAAAGTTTGCTCTTCATTACATTTTCATGTCCCTTAGTGAAGAGTTGAAAATATTTACATGCATAAAGTTTTTAACTTCAATTTTGCCAATTGATGATGTTTTAAGTTAATGGTTTCAAAATTGGTCATGATTTCATGTTTTCTAAAGTATTTCCATGTTTTTGAATAAGCCATGCAAGCCCTCAAACCATGAAATTGAGTGTGGAACTAATTTCTTCAGCTTTTGAAAAACAGAATTTGCACAGACTACTCAAGCGGTCTAGTTTTCGCTCGAGCGCACATTGAGACCAATCAATATTTTTGCAGACTGCTCGAGTGGTCTAGTTACCGCTCAACCCTACATTTGAACCATCCAAAATCTCCTTTTGCAGACCAAAGTACTGGGAGATTGCATTCACCGCTCAAGCAGTGACAGGACTACTTGAGCCGACATCCTATTTTCAACATGTTTTGAAAAACACTTTCATGTGCATATTTTTGTTTCTATGTTCTTTTGAGCATTCTTAGTCATGAATTAACCCTCATTAAATAGATAATAAGCTAGAAACCAACATAAGGAAATGGATTAGATAAAGACGTGTTTATTTGAACAGTGTGTTTTAATGTGTATATGTTTATGTGTGCTGTGTAGGTTGGACACCCGAGAACTAGCGTTTGCATCAGCCCACTGTGAGTAACGTCTTTGTAAAGTTATGTTTGAAAGTATATTTTGAAAATGCTTCGAGAACAATGTTTTATGAAATCTTATTTCGTATGAATGAATGTCCCTTTTGTTAAACGTATTTGTCGCATCCTCTGGTGAGGCCCTACCTTGGTGGATATAATACCATGGCCCTTTGATTATTCGATTTACAGAGATGTCTGATGTTTGACCCGAGTGGTCCCTTCGTTAGACTGGAATGGTCCCTTTGTATTGACCTAAATGGTCCCTTTGAAATGGACCCAAGTAGTCCTTTTGACATTGGCTGAGTGACCCCTTTGTTTTGCTCTATTGGATGTTACCACGTATCACGCTTCGATAATGAATTTCGTTTATAAGCAAAAGCTTTGTTATGAATTCGATACATGATTTGTTTTGAGAATACAAGTTATGTTTTGTAATGTGATTGGACTTCATTCGTTAACCACTTTATATTGATGTTATTCATTGGGATTTAGCTCACCTACTTCCCCTATATGTATGTAGGTGAGCATTTGGAAGATCAACCTTAGAATATGCCTTGGGAGTCCACCATTGCCAATGGTGGAGTGTCTCTATGTCGAGGCATTTGTTTTGGAGTTTGTTTTGGACCAAGCTTTTGTCAAGCTTTGTTTTGTCAAGTCATTATTTTTGGACTTAGTATGAATGTTTGTGGTTTATCATATAAACACAGCTCAATGGACTTGTTTAATTTCTGATTTGCTTCCACTTCAGACCCCGTTAATTAATAAATATTTTGTATTTTGATTAAGAGACCGTAGGTAATCTATGATTACTAGCCGGTCATGTCCCTAACCTCTAGGAGCGGGTTAGGGTCATGACACACCCTCTTCTCTATTTCTTTTTTTCCTTTTTATGAATAGAAAATTGGACACTTGGTATAAAGAGAAAAAAAGTTTCAAGACACCAAAGTAGGTGCTCACATATATAATAATATAGACAAAGAACTAGAAGAAATCATTTCAACATGAACTTATAAGCATTAATAGCACATACGTAAACAAGTTTGAGCTCCGTATGGGAGTGTGTATATATTCAAACAAATACACAAAAGTTAGAAACAAACCACTGTAGATCATTAATTCTATAAATCCAAATAAATCTAAACTTACCATCCGATGACCTGATCGTGGACTTGGACACCCTTTATAATTTAGTTGTTCCCATTGATTTGTTTTCAAGTCCAACACCCAAAAGTCCTAAAACAACAAATTCAAATGGCAACATTCTAACCTTAGGGACTTATTTAACAAATATATATGCGTGTGTGCATGTGCAATTTATTCATCAGCCATGGCTTCTTCAAAAAAAAAAAAAAAAGAAGAAAAAAGAAAGTATTATAGTCAATGACTTAAATTTGGAGACGTGAACTCCCCACCTAGTAGTAGTACACAACAACGATTCTCTCATTACAAACACAATGCAGTAGATCTTTATTGTGTGAGTGAGTGAGTTAGTGTGTGTGTGTGTGCTGTTATTATGTGTTTGTGGACACAAATGCTGCCACATTACCAAAAATATAAAGATAGTTCTTCCAGGCAACTGCCTGATGTGCACTGCGAGGTGGTGGACTATTTGGGCTTGAAATCAGCTTCCACTCCTGCTTTTCCACATCATACCGATAAAGATCACCATATACAAATGTCTGCATCAAACCAATTCCATAGACTCTCAGTGTGGAGCAAGTATATACATATATACATATATTATGGAAAAAACAAAAACAATTAAATAGTTGACAAATATAAAAGGCCTAACCTTGGTACCATTGTAGAATTCACCCCCATAAAGAATCAATTCAGTCTCTTTCAATGGATTAATGTTCAACTACAGAATCAACAAACTAAACTCTGAATTCACAACACATTATACACTAAAAATTAAAACCCAAAAACACTGAACTGAACAATTGTAATACCGAGCAATTCGATCGGGGAGACGGTGCTGGGACATTTTCTTCAATGTGGATTTCTTTCTTCTTGGCTTCCTCCTTCTGTATACTCAACTGTGTGTGGAATAAAAAAACAAAACAAAACAAAAACAAAAACAACAACAACATCACAACACAATTTCAAGTCTCCTCATATAAACATGAAAAATGCTACTAAATTGTTATCAAATGTGGGTCATGTGAGAGACATTTGATAAAAAAATTGGTAAAACTTTATGGGTCGATACCATTACTCTATAAACATGGGTGGGCCTTTTTTTTTTTCTTTTTAATTTCCTTCCTTCCATCTCAGTTTGTCTTGGTGGAAAGCAAAAGCTATATATACTTATATATTTCGGGGAAACTACTACAGTTTTTCTCAGTCGGGAAAATAAAATTAAACGACATAGGAATAGGGAAGAGTACCAAGATGGCATCGATGTCGTCTTCGGAAGAGAGCTTTTTGGTCTCTCTGCGAGATCTTTTTTCCTCAGCTTTCGCAGTTTTTCTCTCAGTTTTTTCTTTGCCTTTGCCGGGTTTCTTCGTCTTCTTCCCCATTTTCCCCAACTGTTCCTCAAACGGCGGCCCATTCTGGAACAGAGGAGGAGGCTAGTATTTATTATTATCAGTGCCTGCGTCACTACGGACGACGTCGCTTTACTTTTTCCCTTATGTTTTTTTTCAACTTTTTTTAAACCTTGATAGTTCGGCAACTGCGATACACGTCGCACATCAATTTTTATCAACTGTTAGTATTATAATTAATGTGTTGTTTGGCAAGTGATTTTAAAGTTAAAATAGTTAAAAAAATAAAATAGATTTTTTTAGTCATAACAAATAAAATATCACATCTAATTTATAATCATTATATTATTCTCTCATAAAAAAAGTTAAAAAAGTCAAAAAGTCCTTCCCAAACCAAACTTTTTAGCCCAGGCTAAAATAGTCAAAAAAATCAAAAAGCCAAAAAGTCAATCCACTTCCTAAACGGAGGCTAAGTGTGTCCATTAAATTTATATGTAATATGTGTGTAAAATATAGAGATTTCTATGAATAAATTGATTTGTATTCAAAATAGAATTAAAAAAAAAATGAATACATATTCAGTTGAAGAATTTAAATAATAAATGAAAATTTTGATAAATATAAATATTAATTTATAGTTAGATTGTTGAGGTCACAAGTTTATTTTAAATAATAAATAATAAGTAGGTCCTTTAAATATCAACAATGATAGAGATCACTAATTTTGAAACTCTAAAAAGATCACTAATGACATGACACTCAATAAAAAAAGAAAAAAATACAACACCAAGGCCAAACATCAAATCATTCATGGTGGGGCTCACTGCCACATCATTAGTGGTAACACTAATTAGTACTCCCACTCATTTTCCTTCAAATATATAGTATTATATAAAATTTTTTCTATTAACTTCCTATTTTAATTTTTCATAATCCATACCTATAATATAATTGAAGGTATGAAATTAATTACACAATTTAATTTAATAATTTATCTCATAATACAAAATCCATTGACCCCACAATTACATATTACTTGCCTACTATTTGATGTAAAAATGCGTTAATATCAATATATAATATATTTTTATATTAAGAGTTATTGAGTTTCATTTTTCCGTGCCACGAATATATTGTATAATGAAAAATATAACATTAATCATTAGTATGAAAAATATAGAATAGTTTTCATTTATGTAAAAAATATAGAATAGTTTTCTTAAGAAAATTGAATGATATTGTAATTTAATATTTCGATCGATATAAAATTTCATAATTATTTTCACGATATTTATAGATTTATGCTTATAAGTGTTTGCAGAACCACTTTTATGAAACTGTCAAGTTACATAATTTATTATGGCATTTGTAAATAATCAACATATAACAAAGATTGATCAAAACTTTTTTATTTGATGTACTTACTTTCTACATCATTGAGTTGCTGCGATAATGTTTGGGTACCAGTTGATTTTTTTCTTGTAATTTGATTAATATGTGTGCATGATATTATTTTTCTTGAATTTCGCAATAGATAAGATAATTCTTACTTTAATTCGTCTAACATTGCTTGGAGAGCATGTTGCAATAGATCTTTTATAGTTTTTGTTTCACCATCTTCATGTTTTTCTTCTTACTCATCATTATAACTCATGAGTAAGAGTTTAAAGCGATAACATATTGTTATGAATTTAAAAATTCATTTTCACTCAATAATGCAATTTTTTGTGAGGGGAAAAAAATATAATTATTGTTGTGATTGAGGTGTTTTGTAAAGTCTTAGTTTGTTATTGAAAGTGTTTATTGTAGACATTCATTTGTATGACATGTATATATATATATATTGAACATAAGTTGATAGAAGAACAATACATAATTCCATAGTTTTTTCCTAATAAATATAACGATACTATTAAAGCAATACATGTTAGAAAATTAAAGTATTCGATGGTAATATAGTATTATAGACAATGTATGAATACAGTAACATATATAAATTTACATATATATTTTTTTTATATATATTTATATATGTAGACATTGACATATATAAGATATCACAAAAATAATATGTGAAATCTTTTGTAACAGTATAATATAGAAAATAATGAGAAGTTAAATTATTCATAATTAAATAATTTGTCATAATGTAGATGTTTATTGTTATATTTTTGTATGTATACACCATTTTTTAATTAGATTATTAATTTCACATAAAAATTGAAAGAAATTTGTGAATAATTTGTGTAAAATTAGAGATTAGTGAAGAAAGATTTTTAAAAAGACAAGTTTATAGTGTTTGGTTTGGTTTGGATTTTCAAATTTTGTCTTGAATTTTTTGGTTTTCATTTTTTTTTTTTTTTCGTGTGTGTTTCTTTAACACTGTTTTTTTAATAATCATTTTATTTTCTTTTTAGATTCACTTAATTTAATATTTTTTTATTTTTTAATTTTACTTTTAGATTTAGATTTACTTAATCTAAATATACTTAGAAAATAATTTGTTCTGTATTTTTTTGGGAAAAAAATTATTAATATTAATATTAAATAATAATAATAACAAAAAATATATATAATAATAATAAAAAAACATACTGAGGTTTCCCAAGAGTTTACCCACAGATCTGAAGTGCCGATGGATAAGGTGTAAAGCTGAAAGAAGTAAGAAGCATCAAATAGTGTAGGCCGCAAGTCAAGACAACATGATGGGTTCACAAGCCGCGTGCACGAGCTGTGGACGAGCGAGGCCAGAACCAACGGTGATGTCGCAGCGGAGTTGGTGACCACACACGATGCGTTGAAAGGGCGACGTGTGTGGTTGGCACTGGAGCAAGCAACGGCATTGGTGCTGGTCAGTTGAGGAAGGCAATGGCAGTAGGACCACAGAAGAGTCTGGTGTTGGCTTGACAACGTTGTCACGACACCGATGGTAGCCGAGGCTGTAGCCGCTGATGGTGTGCAAAATGACGCTGGACAGACAAAATAGGAGCTTGGTCGAAATTGGGACAGGCTGATGGCTGGGTTGCGATTCTAGGACAAGTCAGTGACGAGTCTGTGGCATCTGTAACAGTCAGAGCTGGGTCTTCAGTGACGACGGCGACGACGGGGCTAGAAGTTGCTATGGAGGTCTGTGCAGATGGCAGCGGTGCTGGTTTGTTGAAGAAGACGGATGGCCTCTCGATCTAGAGAGAGAGTAGACTGAGAAGTGAGTGTGGCGGCTATGCAAAAAGTTGGTTAGCTACAGAATAGGGTTTTGCCCTTTCCTTAAATAGAAAAAAAATGGAGCTTTATCCTTTGAATATGCTGTTAGAATATTCTAAATATGTGTATGCCGTGTTTGCCAAAAAAAAAAAAAAAAAAA